ATATATATATATATATATATATATATATATACACACATGATCCACATATCTATCACCCGATTTGTTCCCTTAGCCATAGTATGCCTCATCAGTCTATCGTACTGCATGTGTATCCGTTAATCATTTATACTCAAATGTGGACATACAAACAAACAAAAAGACAGACGGCCCACGACCTTCTTGCACGGAACAAGCTATACAGGTGTTCCACAGGTGTAGCGGGCCACCTTACGCGAGGGAAAATCAACCGTACGAATTGTTAACATAGGGCAAATATTCCATTCGCGATAGGTGTTGTTATTACCCTCATACTGGTGCCAGAATACCGAGGTCCGCCATCAGACTTGTATTTTGTGTTAGTTTGTTTGTCAGTAGTTATTCTGACTTATACTTCTTGTACTTATACGTGTTGCGAGTATATTGCACAGGTTGCAACGTTGATAATGAAGAGATTAGTCGGGAAGATACAGCTTAACATTTTATCTGTTGCTATAGATGGAGAACGAAACGTTCTTGCGAAAGTGGGCTTAATGTACATAGCTCGTAAGGGTGATATTCTCTGTACAGTTGGACAAGCTGTTTTGGACACCCTGTTACAGCGGGGGGAGAGGGAGAGGGAGTGGGGGAATGGGAGAGGAGGGGAGAGGGAGTGGGGGAGGGGGAGAGGGAGTGGGGGGAGGGGGAGAGGAGGGGAGAGGAAGGGAGAGGGAGTGTTGGGAGGGTGAGAGGAAGGGAGAGGGAGTGGGGGAGGGGGAAAGGAGGGGAGAGGATGCGAGAGGGGCAAGAAGGAGAGTTATAGGGGGAGAGGGGGGGAGGTGCCATGAGGGGAGGCTAGGAGATAGAGAGGAGGAGGGAGGGGAGGGAAAGAGAGAGGGAGAAGGAAGGAGGAGATGGGGACAAGGAAGAAGTAGGGAGGAGGAGTGGTGAGGGGGGGCGGGGGATTGGGGAGGGAATAGCAGTTGGGGAAGGTAGGGAGAAAGAGAAAGAGAGAGAGAGAGAAAGATATATATATATATATATATATATATATATATATATATATATATATTTATATATATATATATATATATATATATATATATATATATATTTATATATATATATATATATATATATATATATATATATATATATATATATATAGAGAGAGAGAGAGAGAGAGAGAGAGAGAGAGAGAGAGAGAGAGAGAGAGAGAGAGAGAGAGAGGGAGGGAGGGAGGGAGGGAAGGGGAGAGAGAGGGAGGAGCGATGTGGGAGGGGGAGGTACTACCCGAGCGGGAGGGTAATGGGGGAAGGGGGGGAGGGTTAAATGGTGGAACAAACAGTGCCAGAGAGACAGTGTGAGAGTGATAATGAAAGTGACATGAGCGCGGGTGCCACAGAAAGAGAGAGAGAGAGAGGTGGCATTGAACTCATTTTTGTAGTGCCGGAAAACAACAACAAAAAAACAAAAGACGAAAGAAATGAATCTCGTGTATTTTTCATCGCTTTCTTCTTCTTCTTCTTTTTCTTTTTCTCCCTTATATCATTATATCAAAGGAAGTGCATGTACGAAAATACGGTGGATTGTGGCGGATAACTTACACGAACGGAAAAAAACGCCCTTCTGTATCTCTGATATAAATGATATCCGAATCCTGTCTGCAGAATCCGAACCTTACACGAACGACGAACTTTTCCTCCGACAAAAGCCCTTAATATCCGGAATCTACCTGTGCACTGAGAACCTTACACGAACGCTGAGAAATCCAGCTGAGGTGTATCTTGTCTGCGTATTCTACATTTTACACAAACGGCATGTTTTTTTTTTCTCCTGCAGATGCTTGATATCTGGATTCTGTCTTATACGAACGCTGAGAAATCCAGTTGCTGCCAACCATGTCTGCGAATTCTGAACTTTACACGAACGCTGAACTATTTTTTTTCTTTTTTTTTTATTAAAGTGACATCACGATTCTGTTTACGTTTGATATATTTATTGGTGAATATCCAGTCTCTATTACCATAATAAATACATCTTATATCTAAATATCTAAGACGTATAACTGAATATTTGTTATGCAATCACAGATACCACAGCAAAAAAATATCTTTGACCTAGAATGGTTTTGTAAGAATCACAAAAACCTGAGTCATCTTCGAGTTCTACGGGATACGTGCTTGAAAGATTTTTGAAATGCAGATGTGTATGAGACTTTTTAATTTCGATGTGAACGTTGCGTAATTAGTAATAGAGAGTACATTTCGG